CCAAAATTTATAATAATTATTGAGATGCAGGGGTATGCAAATCGATTCTGCAATTGATTCCATTGTTAGGTGTCAATTGTGTCGGGACACAGGATTTAGAAAACAGCGATAAAAAAATAAAAATTTTGGATTCTCGCTTTGCTGACCCGGCCGGGATATGGAAAATTTAATAGTGTAAATAGTCTGATTTCAACAAGTTTAATATTAATAAATTGTAAACAGTTAAAGATTTTTACATTAAGTTTTTTAAATAAATTCTGTTAGTTCTAATACTATAGTAATCTAATTTACATATGATTTATCACAATATTGAATTTTAGCCAGTATAGTGAAATTTAAATTTTTACTTTTATGTTTTCACTTAGTAGCATTTATATATATACAAATATTTCTATATATTTTATAAACTAAAAATCAAGAAACTACAAATTTCTTTTAATGTTTATTGTATCATTGAAACCACAAATTTTCCTTATCTGTATTATTTACTTTAACATGACTCATCCTTTGACATTCAGGATCAATACACCGCTTCTTTGGTGAATCTAAATCTCTTATATCATCTTCATAAGGAAAAAATGTCATCATCTTCACAGCATCCGGATGGTTCTTCATTTCAGGAATTTTTTCCATGATTTCATTTCGTGACCTAAAAGGTCTTTTCCGGCTAATTTCACTGGAGAGTAGTTTAGGAAGTTTAAGTGTCGTACATAGATGATCAGGATTAAAGAAATTGGGATTGTTATCCCTTGTCATTGCAAATGCAGCATGGGAAGCAAATACATGCCCAAAATAATCTTGAAAATTTTGTTTACATATTAGTAAGCAATTTAAAGGAATGTCAGCCAAGTTCTCAGTAAAAGGCTGATTAGTGAAGATCACAGTAATAAGCCTGTACGTTTTAAGTTCAGACCTAAGTGGTTCTTGTGCTTTTTCTAATACTCTTAAATTTTTTTTGTGTTCAGCTAGAATGTCTTCAATACAAAGATTATTTGTTTTCCATTTTTGTTAGGAACCAATGAGCAGAAAAGTCTCATCATCAGTAATTTCACGTCGAAAGCAATCCGCAAATGGTGCTGCCCAACCATTAATTATTATATTATTAGACCTCCAGTCTACATCACTAAGATCTATTGAATTACTTAATTTAAGACATGAAAATTGTTCCCAGATATGACGAACAGTAAGAGGACGAAGTTTGATGTGTAACTCTAATATATTCTTATGGCCATAAGTGCTATGATAAATTTCCTGAAGTGATTTCACCTTTTTATTCAACTCAATTAAAACATTGTTGTGGAATGCTTCGAATTCAGCCACAAAACGTTCCCAGTCCTGCCATTGTAACATCCATCGGGGGTCAAAATATCATCTAGAATGTTTGTAGCCATGTGAAGAACTTGATTATAGAGGTACAGAAATAGAAGTAGCATTTGTACCACATATTTATTGTCACCATGGTGATTAAGAACAAGATGTCTATCTCGTTCTAATACTTCGAATGATTCATCAAGGTATTCTTGTGAAGGAATATCCGTTTTCATAACTGGAATTGATCTAATAGAATAATGGATAAGTGCCCAAGTGAGACTTCATTGTTCCTCAGCAAATGTTGTGACAGCATACTGTTTATCAAGATCTGATGCAACTTCATTGAAAAAAATGTTTGGGTTATGCCTTTCGATCTCATCTAAGAACCATTCATTGTACCCGATCAAAATTGGTACCAAAAAAATGTTCTAACAAGTATTCCAGAGCATGTGGAAAGCCACCAGTATCAGACAACAACTGGTGAATCCATGATTTCAATTTCCAATTATTTGAAGGATCATATTGAATCAGAAAATGTTCTATAATTCGGATACGTGCAGCCATTGACAATAATGGACATTTAGCAAAATGCCATGAGTATGATGTAGGTTCTTTTGCCCGAATTATGCTATGTGGGCTGTTTCTGAAAGAAATGTTTGTACGAAGATACATTGTGAACTCTGATAAGTCATATAATGCCCAAGTTCATACATTATACATCTAAACAGGCCTTTTGGTGAATTTTCTGTGTCTGCATTCCAAGCATTAAAGTTAATGATTTTTTGAGATTCATCGATGTGGATGAACAAAAAAAGACGCTGCCCAGTTTTAATATGTAAATAACTTCGGATAGCCGTGATTACAAAATCAATGTTAAATTTTGTCTTTATATTTAAGTGCCTCATGGCGAAATTCGCTAAACTGAAAATCGTATTTCCTTTTGACAAAGACTTCATAAGCCATGCATATACCAATAATAATTGATGCTGATAAATCATAATCATATGCATCTAATATTACATTGTTACCGAAGTCAAGACGCAAATACTTTATATGAAGTAAACCATTTCTTGTTCATCTAGTTGGTGGTGCCAGTGATGTTTCAAAATATTAAACACTTCATGTCCTAATCACGTTTTTCCTAGAATATAATTAATTATAAGATTTTAGTTGCCTTTTAAAATGAGCCAATATAAACGTAAGATAGTTTTACTCACCTATACCAGCCATACCTCCACAAACCAAAAATTGGTAATGTTCTTTGGATATATCTTTACCATGTGTAGCATTATGAATATTGTTGTTGATTACATTGATTAGCCTTTGAATGTCACAGTCTTTTAGTGGCATAATACCAATAGAGTCGTTAATTTGTCTTCTGGGATCAGGCCTTGCTTCTTGCAGAATTTTAAATATGATATTAAAAGTGTCAGTTCGGATATTCTTATTGAGTTGATTTTTAAGTGTTTTTTTTAATGTTTTTTTTAATGTTTTTTTTTCTTTTTTTTCTTTTTTTTGTATCTTTTTAATAAAAGAAAAATTAAAATGAGAAAATGTTCCCAGTAAGACAATTTCAAAATGTTCCTTCCCAGAAACTTCTAAAAAGATTAAGCAATACTGAGGTCCCTCTCAGAAGCTTCTTCTAACAAGAATCGTTTTGTTCAAAAACTTAAACTCCGTTTTTTTTACAACCTTCCCATTAAAAGATTAAGTATGCTTAGCTTCCAAAGAACGAGGTTAATTGTCTTTACCTCAAAAATATTTAATGCCACCTGAGCCTTTTCTTTGTAACATTTATAGCGTGGTTCATTCAAGCTTGCTATTTTTTGTAATTGTTGTTTATAGACACCATGTTGCGAAGGGCTAAAGTTTTCATTTCGTTCAGTTTTATATTTCCGAAATGTTTCTAAACAATAATCATTTGAACTTTCAAAAAAGTTTGCATCTTTAAGTTGCAAAGAAAGTTCAGGAGGTAGTTGAGTGGTTGATGCAAAGAGGCTACGAAAAATAAACATAGAAAAGGTCGTATAAAGTTTAAAGTTTTATGGTTCAAAGTTTAAATAAACAGAGAAAAGTTTTCAGGTTTTTATTCTATAAAAAAAGTCGCGCAAAGTATCAGATATATGTCACTCTCGATAGGGCACATAGTAAGGAATTTTTTTAAAATCCCGCTTTATCATGAGCTTTATTAGTAAATTCATTATATCATTATGATGTGGATCAGAATCTTGATCCACTATATCGATATCAAGATTTTACTTAATCTCCGTTATCCGTTATATTGAAAGTGACGTGTATAGAAATTAAATATTCCCAATCATAAGAAAGTTCACTTTCGGAAAGTCCCGGGAATTTGATCAAAACACGAATTACGAACTAAATTACAAACTAGACAGGAGTGACTATACCCAAATAAGGGAATAAGGTTGCACAATTGATTATTTGATTTCGTCTGATTTTTTTTTTAATTCCGGGGTGTGGCTTAGTGTATCATAGATGACAAACTATCCGTTCATAATTTTTCCGTTTAAGACCGTTTATGGTTAAAACGATTTAATATAATAAAAATTTTCGATAATAAAAATAATTACATCACTTGAAAATTCGTTGAATAGCAAATATATCTTAAGCACCGATTATGTAAATGTGATGTATACGTATGTTCTTGTAGGACTATCCTGTCTACAGTAGAGACCATCCGTATATGGAAGCGATTTTCATGCTAAATCATGGACCAATCAAAATAGCATAACATGATTGATCGACCAATCAAATTACTGATTTACAAAATTTTGGGATTCAAGAAATATGTTGTAAAGCAAAGTGTAAGCTTAAAGAATTTTTACATTTCTTAGAAAGGATAAGGGGCATGAGCCTTTCAAAAAAAGTATTGTAAGATAATATGATAAGTCCTGTATTTTCAGTCTTAAAATATACAGATTTTTATTTGACTATTGCTAATTTGCGTTGGATCTAGAGTTAATACCTGCATCCGGATTTAATTGTTAAATCCGGATTTAATAATTAAATCCGGATTAATAATTAAATCC